AGAGAGGATTTAGGCCATGGTTGCATACTTCGTTTTTCTCAAGTTTGCTTTGAACACAGCAGTCAGGCTATGTTGATTCTGTTGGTCCTTCTTGCACGGAAAAACGCAGTAAATTGACAACACCAATATATATATATATATATATATATAAAACTGATCCATGATTCATGTTGATGAGAGCATTGAAACAGGAAAAAATAGGACAAAAAAATATAAAAGGAAATTTAGAAACGATAAAAAATGTGTGAGTAATCACGATTAATTATGAGTTAATTATGACGTTGCGTTTTTAAACAAGATTAAATATTTTAATCGTTTTAATATATATATATATATATATATATATATTTTGCAGTAGTACAGTGGCTGCTGCTCAGGCCTGAAAATAATTAACCCTTTCATGTACCCTGTAACCTGACAACATGGTAAGCTGTCCACTGTAGTAACCGTTGTCCCTGAAAGGGTTAAAAAAATACAAATAAAATAATAGGGGCATTATAGTGGTCATTGCGTGGCCCCCAATCATAACAATTTCCACAAAAATAATTGGGACCTCGCCGCAGTCGCGGCTCGGCCCTTAATAATTTACTACAAAAACAATAGGGCCTCTACAAAAACAATAGGGTCTGGTTTAATTTTTCCTGAAGGGAGTTTCTTAGTGGTATCCATCCATTCTCGATACCACTTATTCTATTCAGGGTCATAGAGTGCTGCACTCTGTGCCGGGTGATTTCAGGTGATAGGTGGACGACAGCCTGGATTGATTGGCAGTCAGTCACAGTACCACTACGCCATGCAGGGACAAGCGGCATTAGGATATCACCTTTGAAAAACTCCAAGTGGAATTCTTGTACCTCCAAATGATCACTTCTCAGGACACCAACAAAATGGCATGTGTGTTCAGCCATCGACAAAGAGAGCAAGCAGTGTTCCAAAACTCACATTTGATCAATAATTAGAAAACGACGCACACACATGGAGACAAACCAGTCGTACGAATCTCTGAAAAAAAGATTCACTAAATTGTGACACGGGAATTTTTTGAGCCAATGCCAGTGATATGATCTATTGGAACGGGGGTGTTGTCGTAGGTTTTTGAAAGTTATGCGATGTTCAATTCATTTCAAATTTGAGATTTTGTTTCTTCGATGATATTGGAATCCATCGTTTTCTGTCATGTGCTTTTGTTCTGAATCGCATTCTACCGCCTTGAGTATTTACAAATGAGTATTTACCATAGGTGGAATACGAAAGGTTTTAATCTGTGACATCGCTCCTGTCTGTGGCACATCAAGGATTTGCGGAGTGTGAGATTAGGGCTGTACGTCGTCATAAATCTCCACGTCCCAATTCAGCTGTGCGGTGGCGGGTGGGCACTTGCTCGCTGTGGTCTGTGATGTTATTGGACATTTGAGTAGACGTACCTTGAGGTTTTTACGTTCGCTCTTCTTTTGGCTGGTAGGTTTGAATTTTTCCAGATCTTTTTCTTGTTTATTTTTTATTTTTTTTGATGATGCAGATTTTGATTGATTTATTGATTCATTCTAACCTGATAATATCCTGATTCTTTTTAATTTAGAATTTATTCATGTTGTGATGTTTCTCTTGCCGTGGATTTCTAGGATGAATTGCTGCTTACCGGATATTTATGAGATGTCTCACTCGATGGTTGGCGAATATACAATTCAGGGTGGTGGAGAGCACTGTCTGTACGCAAGTGAAGGATCGGGGTATGGACACTGTGAACCCCAACCGCTTCACCACCCGCCGTGCCTGGAACAGGTTTGGCCATCAAGCCAGCACTATAATTATTTATATAGCGCTGTCCCTTCCTGTTTCAAGAGTGACTTTTGTAACATGGAGATCCCTCTCAATAATTTTCATTATCACCCCGAGTATTCTCCCGAGGTGAAATCAGACTGCTCACATGTACAATGGATGCAAGGAGCACACAAGAAAGGTAAAACCTTTGATCACCGTCGTGGGTATTTGAGAGTCACGCTTCGCGTCCAAGTGTCGCTTCACGTGCCACAAGAAAGGTAGGAAACCTTTGATCACCGTCGTGGGTATTTGATCCAAAGAGTCACGCTTCGCGTCCAAGTGTCGCTTCACGTGAATGTCATTTTCTGCGTATCGTCTCTATCAAATTTTTTTTTTCATGGAATTAATTAGGGATGACTCTGTGATCGTTGAATCAATGAGGTCTGGGATTTCCGATTTAAGTCCCGGCATAAATCCAAGTCTTGGCGTCATGCAGCAGGATTCCTTATTGATTGGATTATTATTGATTGGATGTCGAGGCAACAGAAGGCTCATACGAGATAATCATTGCATTCCCCCCAACTCCCCCACACACACGCACACACAATTCTCCACAAAATGTTGCCTCTATACTTCGTGTCCCAAATTGCGGAACAAAGCCGAACATACTAAGATGAATCCTAAAATTGATCAGATCATATGGTGATGTCACTGTTGAGTTCATCATACTGCTCAAAACTTTGAACTTGTAATTTGATTCTCATTCATATATTTTCAAGCTACACAAAGTATCATGTTAGAAGCATGCAGCCCCCCGAAACATTTAAATGTTTTTTGAGAATTTGATCTATTGTTAAAGGGAATCTGGTCCACACTCCCTCCATCGGTCCCACTTTCCATATTTTGTAGTTCACTGATATTTGATCCTGGATCCCTACTCTAAGTCAAGCCTTCCAACCATGCCGTGTGGTTTCCGCTGTCTGGGAGTGTAGCTACGCATATTTACTGCGTTGGATGTAATTTTTGAGCAGGAATTAAAGACATGAACCCTTTCAGTGACAGGGGTCACTCCAGTGGACAGCTTGTCATGTTATTGGGTTGCAGGGTGCATGAAAGGGTTAAAATAATGTAATGCGAGTGTGTTAATGATTTAGTCAAATATTCTACAGTCACGTTGAACAAAGAATAAAAGGTACTCTTGTCTTGTGTTAATTTATCCCATTTTTATTCAAGGTAACAAAAACGAATGAAATAAGTCAAACTAAAATTGAAAAAAAAACATGATCATGAACAAAATAAAAACGAAAATAATGTAAAAAACAATGAAAACTAACTCAATCTGACGTTGATAAAATTAAGCAGAACTAACATGATTGAAATGAAAATGTCCTGCTTGCATTTTCATCGTCGGCAATTCACAAAATAGAGGAGCTGGCGGGGTTCATTTTAATTGTATTTATGAAGAAAGAAGGACAAACAGCTACTGAGAATTGTAGTTTCTTTTTATCACACAATACTTTGTTACATTTTTTTCCTAACTTGGACTCGACAAATAGTCCATATATTAACCCTTTCATGCACCCTGTAAACTGATAACTTGAGAAGCTGTCCACTGTAGTGACCGTTGTCCCTGAAAGGGTTAATAAAAAAATGTAATATTTAAATGTCGGGATACTGGCACATTGGAATTGGATTTTTTTTATTTTTTTTTATGTGCATCAGAATGTAGAGCTGATTAAAACCAATGTATATCTGATTAAAAGCTACTTTGAAAAAATATGACCTCTATAAAAGGCTAAAAATGAGGAAAAATTTTCAAGGAAAATTAGAAAAGGTTGACATTAAGTTAAGTTTAGAGATTTTTTGTAAGTTGTGGGGCTGTTATATATGCCTCGAACATTTGGTTGATTTTCGTGAAATGGTCAACCGGGAATGTTTCGTGAAAAATATGGAGAGGGCGCAACTGAGCCAATTAAAAAAAAAAAATTATGATCTTTTTCTCAACTCTCAACTCAACTCAACTGTATTTATAGAGCACTTTCAAACAGCCATCGCTGCATACAAAGTGCTGGACATGGAGCAATTTAACATATACAACAAACAGTGCCAAGTTTCACATTTTCATGCTCAGACCATCAAAATCTGTGTCCGTTTTCTTAGCAGGTAAGGTGTCAGTCTGGCAACATTGTTGAGCAAAATAAAAAGCTTTACTTTTCATTTGTATCTTGAACATCTTTGGACTCAAGTATCCACAGTTGCAAGACAAATAGATGCAATCTCTAGGAGGACTTTGTCTGTTAAATATGCCTTCAACTTTTTCGCAGATCTTTGAAAGATAAAACAAGGTATGGTTTGTTAAAACTTTCTTGGGGGCGCTACTAAGTCATTTTGTAAAAAAACGCGAAATAAAATAGGATTATTTTGCCAGAGGTGATGTGTGTGCCGAGTTTCAGGGTAGAGTCCTTGAGTTCCTTGATTGTTTATGGGCACAAGCGTGTTGATTTGGTCTTGTGACAGTTTTGAAAGGATTATATCATTTGGGAATGTATTCATATCAGTTTGGTTAATCATTGGGTCTCAGTGTAGGGAAGCGCCATCGTTCTTAAATGTACTGTTAAGCTTCTTCTTTGTTGTTTTCCCTTCTAAGTCCATAGTTTTGTATGATTGGCTAAGTACGTGCTAGATTTATTACGATGATGAAAGTGTTCTTGTTCCACTCGATGTGTAGTAAATTGGATTTTTTTATTCTTCATGTTGATCAGTTCATATTTGTATTGTTTTCATTCTATTTTTCCGTGGGGTTATTTATTTGCATTCATGTATTTTTTGCAAGTTCAGTTTTTTCAGTCGCTGTTGTTTATACACACACACACACACACACACACACACACACACACACAGAAATGATTACATGATTACTCTTCTTAATACCGCTTTTCCTGCTGCTCATTGATTCTACGGTGTAATTTAGGCCGGGGATAATTTATTTCCAAGAAGGTTGTCTGAGCCTTCAACGAAAGCTGTTTTAGTCGCCATCTAGCGGATGTTTTGTGTATGTAATTGTAATTCCATTTGAATGACACAGTGGCATGATCACTCATTATAATAATAGGGTCTGTTGTAGAGTTTGAAATGTGCGATATTATGCAGTTGGAAACAAGAAAACAAACAATACGTGAAGAAATGAATATTGGTTAAAAATGGTGTTCTTTCATGAATGTGAACCAATTCCTCTTATGTTCCATGTTAAAAATGTTGTCATGATCCCGTTCTTGTGTGTCTCCAGCAGGTGGCAGTCGAGGGCCCTCCTTTCAGTGTGCACACCTGATGCCAATGTTATCAATTGCCATGTATGGACTGTCAACATTTGTCGGATTATTCCTCACCTTGCTCATGACTTTGTCTACACGTGTAGAATTTAGTCGAGGACCGCACTTATCATGCCATGTATATTCTCGCCTCGTTTTTTTCATACATCATCGCAAGTATTTTTATGTCAAAGCTTAGTCTCGTTTTTTCATCCTTCGTCTTTTGGCTAGTTTCTTGTCTTTTCATGACAAACTATTTCCGTTCATATTATTCTTGATTTATGCAAGTGGTTTTGTTTAGTTTTGTTTTTTCCTGGTTATTGTAACCAGCGTCCTTAATCGTACTTTGTCGGTACAGTATTGTGTGTGGGTTTTTTTTTTTTTTTTTTGTATTAATACACCTTTTTTGTTCAATTCCATCTGAGTCCGCGTTTTGAGAGTCCGATTCTGTTCCGGACCCTTCCTGGACCTTACCAGAATAATCCGACGAATCTTGACATTTTGACAGTCCATACATGCATACATACATGGCAATAGAGAAGAACATTGGCAGCAGGTGTGCACACTGAAAGGAGGGCCCTCGACTGCCACCTGCTGGAGACACACAAGAACAGGATCATGACAAACACTAAGGTTTGACAATGCAATTTAGTGGGCGTATATTTAATGTACATAAAGATGTTTTGTGTGTGTGTGTGTGTTGGGTGCAACAACATATCCACCATAGACTTGTATTTTAAACCTGGTCGAATTGCATAATTATTTTCATCCAATTGGAAAAAAAACAAAAAAAAACAAAAATGGGAACACGCTCATGTTCCCCGAAACTGTGCTGTTCGGACAAGCTCTTTGTATCTTTAAGTCAGGAGTGCATTTTGTTTGAGGTGTGCCCTCTCCCATGGATCTCAGTTGAAAACCATTGGGACAAAATTAATAGGCGCTTTCCGAGTGGACATTTATCCTTGGGGTGGGAAGGAAGCCCATGGGGTGGCCAAGGCGATTTCAAAATTTGAAATTTGGGGCTTTTTACCTGTAACTTGGACCAATTTTACCCAATCGTAACCGTTAAAACATCAATCAGTTCAGTCTATCCCGCATTACAAATTAAGTTTTAAAAATTCTAAATAAAACCCGCAAAATTTAAATTGGGTGGTTTAAAACCTAATTTCTTCAATTTTTGACCGATTGTAATTGCTCCAACATGAAACTCTTCAGGTCAATCCCATTCATTTCATTCTTTTTTTTTTTGTTTTTTTTTGCAATGTCAAAATAAAAGCTAAAATTTTTAGATTTTGTTTTTTTTTTTGTTCATGCCCAGGTTTTGACCCTTTCAAAGCGCTCCCACAAAATTTCAAATAAAAAGCGAACAATCGTGTTTTTTTGGTGGCAATCTTTTTTTTTTTACTTGAAATATTCATTATTCACTATTCATTTTGTGATGGCAAAATTCCAAATTTATAATTGTAAATATAGCGATTTAATTTTGGCTATTTGGTGGCCAAGGCTATCACAGGGAGTCTGCCAAACAAAAACTCATCTAATCGAATGCAATTTCAATTTTTTAAATTAAAAAATAAAATCAAAAATTACAATTTTTTCTCCCCCCTCTAATTTCTACATTTGTTTTTCTTTTAACTGGTTCAAACTGTTCCAACTTTAAACTGTTCAATTTATCACAACCACATTTTTTTTCACATTATTTGGTCGTTTCAAAACTTCAACTTAAACGTTCGGCACAGTCAGCTTTCCACCTTGCAAGAGTCAGCAGTCACATTGAAAATGTGAGGGAATTTTCTAGACATGTCATTGTTACTCTGTTTTGATCAACAATGGCAATTATTTTCTTCTCTCCCAGGGTACATACCAAGTTACCTGGACAAAGATGAGCTCTGTGTAGTGTGTGGGGACAAAGCTACGGGCTATCACTATCGCTGTATCACCTGTGAAGGTTGTAAGGTAACAAACAAGTCCCTGATTGGATTGTCGAAGCAAATGGAAGAATCTGTGAACATATGTGGCGCCATTTCATGTCTAGGGCTTCTTCAGGCGGACAATACAAAAAGACCTCAGGCAAACCTATGCTTGTAAGTACGAGGGAAGATGTGCCATAGACAAGGTGACCAGAAACCAGTGCCAGGATTGTCGCTTCAAGAAATGTATAGCGGTTGGAATGGCTACAGACTGTAAGTCAAGACATAAATTAGCCAGCGCACTTATCTGCAACAGGAAGCAGTAATAGCCTAGCATCATGAGATCTGTCATTAAGCTGTTCAAACCTTTCACTTCAGTTAATTCACTCAAGTTTTCTTTTTATCTTACCCCCTCCGCACCACCCACTGCCCTCGAAACCCACAAGTGGTGTTGGATGAGAGCAAGCGGCTCGCCAAGCGTAAGCTGATTGAGGAAAACCGGCAGCGTCGCCGCAAGGAGGAGCTACAAAAAACAGCGATGGATCAACACGAGCCCTCCGATAACGAGTGGCATCTCATTCGTATGACTACTGACGCCCATATGGCCACAAATGCTCAAGGAAATTACTGGAAGCAGAAGCGGAAATTCTTGGTGAGAGATTCTCCTCGCTCCTTTGCCAAAATTGTCGTTTGCTAATCTCCGCTGTTCTCCAACACTTTCCATCCTACAATTCCACAGCCCCAAGCTATCCTCAACTCTTCCATCCATTATCTGAGCGTCAAATAGTCATTTTAATCGCCTATGATAATAGTTAAAACCATCAACTTACCACAAACACGATCCCTAAAACAATCGGGAAGAGGCCCCTTGCATTTCAAACACTCACAAATCATGGTTACTGTAAGGTTCAGGTCCGAACCGAATAATGTTTTCGGATTCCAAAATTCAAAGTTAAAAACTGAAATCACTGGTCACAAAGTACCAGGAAAGACAACGCATAAACAAAAAGCACTTGCAAAAGGCAAGGTACTGAAGCTTACCGAGAACTACACAAATGAAATGACAAGAGTCCAAATATGTGAAACCAAAATGAAAAACAAATAACTTAATGAGGAAAATACTTACAAAACAAGGAACTACGAAAACAAGAGCGACTATGAACAAGATCAAGAGGTCTAGAAAATGACACTTGAAGCGCAACAGTGGGCAAGGTCAATAATCCGACAAAGAGAAGCAGAAGTCAGAGTCTTGAAATGCAAAGCCAGGCTGATGAGGAAACGAGGCGCAGGTGCACTAACTGGAGGGAAACACCCTTCACTCCAGCTGGAGCTGGAACACAATCAAGACAGAACATGACAGTTACTATAGTTTATGAAATAACAAAACGGACCATTTAAAATATTTTCATTTATATAAAATAAAAACCAAAATGCTTTGGGGGGGACCTCTGAGACCTCGTCTTATCGTATAAAATGAACCAAAAAGCTGTCCACTGTAGTAACCACTGTCCCTGAAAGGGTTCATATCATGCATGATCTTTTGAGTTGATTTTAAATGTATTACATTTCTGCATTACTGTGCACTGCTACAGAAGAAGAATGGATAAACAGTCGTTTGAAAATTGTGGGTGACCTTACTTTTGTCTTGCAAAATATGACGAATACGCCATATATATTTTTTGAAAGCAAAATTAATACTAGAGTCGCCCATGTAGTGCAGTAGTCCGGGCAGCGTGGGATTGGTTCCCACTCAGTGATGGTGTGGATGTGGGTGTTTGTCCTATCCCAGCTGTCTCCGGGCAGTAGGCGGGGGACACCCTGAACCGGTTGCCAGTCAATCGCAGGGCACACACAGATGAACACCCATCTATGCTCACATTCACACCTAGGGACAATTTGGAGTGTTCAATCAGCCTGCCATGCATGTTTTTGGAATGTGGGAGGAAACCGAAGTACCCGGAGAAAACCCACACAGGCACGGGGAGAGCATGCAAACTCCACACAGGAAGGCCAGAGACGGATTGAAATCCTGCAGCTGTGCACTGTGAGGCCGACGCACAAACCATTCGCCCACTGGATCACCTCCTTGTTGAATCCCCACAGCTATTCAAACGAAAAGAAGGACCACTGTGTCCATTGGTCCAACCAAATGTCAGAATTAGTGGGAGAAAGTACTTTTTCACACAGGGCCAAGTAGCTTCAAATAGTTTTTTTTTTTCCCCCTCTTGAGAAATACAATGACTAAAAAAAACCCATCAGCTTATTTTGAGTTGTCTTTGTTTGATAGCTACACTTATTTGGTAAATCTTAACCCTTTCAGGGACAGCGGTTACTGCAGTGGACAGCTTATCATGTTGTCAGGTTCATTACAGGGTGCATGAAAGGGGTAATGTGGGGAAATGACAAAAAAAAATAAACGAGAAGAGGCACTGAATATATATTCTCTGGAAAACACAATTGCAATTCTCTCTCACAACTATGGTTGAGTGAGTTGCCATTGAAATTGTGGTTCTTGTCCTGTTTGCCATCTCGCATCATATTTTTGTTAACCGTCTTCAGTCTGACATTTTATGTTGGCCTGCTCCATTTTCTTGATTTCAACTTTACAATTCCTCTTGATTATTCAACAGGTGGAGGAAACAATGCTCCTTAATGAAATAACATGTAATTTATTCTATACCTCTGACCAGAGCACGGCGGGGATGACTGAAACTAAGGTATGACTTACAACTCCGTATGTAGACATTCAAGTCGTCATTTAAGCACCTTCCCACCCCAAACGTTGATGTGGCCCTATGTTGTTTTATGTTCCCACAACAGCCAAGGTCCCAGAAACAGACTCAATCAGGCTGAAATAACTACAGTATGCCTACAATGCAAAAAAATATAGATTTTTGTAACTTTGGTTGGCCTGTTATGAAACAAAGTATTGTACTGTAGTTCCCAAGTTTACCCGTTGCATCAAATGCTATTGAATGTACTCATGAATTAACTGTTTCCCTGGAAGTTTAAATTGACACCGTTCGGGAACAAACTGAATGTCGATCGGATCCCACAAACATAGACACAAACTAAATCCGTACACAATCTTCTTCTCCTTTCGGCTTGTCCCTTTTCAGGGGTTGCCACAACGAGTCAATAAATCCGTACACAATGTGTGTGTATATGTGTGTGTATATATATCTTCAATAACAAAAGCTTACCGACAAAGTATAAACACAAATCACTGTTCAAAAAGAACCAGAAAAACAATACATGAACCAAACGCACATGCAAAGGTAAGGAAATAGTCAATCCGAAACAAAAACATGAGCAAGATCAAAGACAAAATAACAAATACTTACAAAACGAGAGACTACAGAACAAAAACGACACTGACGAGAATGAGAGGTCTAAAAAAAACAAAACAAAAAACATCAACACTTGAGCAAGTGCAGCAACAAGGTCAATAATCTGATGCAGACTCGACGCTTGGGAATTCTGCTTAACCTGATGAACAAATTGGCAGCAGGTGTGCACGCCGGAGGGAAAGCCCTCCTCTGCCACCTGCTGGAGACACACAAGAACAGGATCATGACAAAAATCTGCTGTTTGTGTTTCTTTTTTTTTTTGTCTATTTGTATGCACTAAAATGTCCTTCTGGTCTTTTCAGCCTGCCAATAGTGGTCATTCATCCACGGCAAATATCCTGGAAGGGAATCAAGTGGATTTAGAGGCATTCAGGCAATTTACAAAAATTATCACTCCTGCCATAAAACGAGTGGTGGACTTTGCCAAAAAACTGCCCATGTTTTGTGAGGTACGCGCCGCTACCGAATTAGTCACATTTTATGACTATGAAAATTAAATAGTTTGCTTCGAAGTGTTATCGATGTTTCTTGTCTGTACACCGACAAAGCTGCTGAACATAAAAATGATGGTTTTGCCACTTCTTCTCTTTCTGGAAGTCTTTCTGGACTTCACTTAACATCAATACATGTTTAGAGAAAATCTCAAATAAAGGTAATCTTTTTTAAATTTTTTTTTTACTTGAAATATTCAAGTATTCATTTTGTGATGGCAAAACTCCTACATTGATAATAAATATCGCGATTTAATTTGGGCTATTTGGTGGCCAAGGCTATCACAGGGAGTCTGCCAAACAAAAACTTGGAGTCACATTCTCAACAATCAGCATCCATTTTTATAATGAACGCAATTTGTACGGGCGCACGCACGCACACAAACACACACACACACACACACACACACAAACAGTGTACGTGTCATGAAAATTTGCTTCCCAAGCACATATTTTGAATGCTAATTTCCCCCTAAATGTGTATGATTTAATTTTATGTTTAATCAATTGAATTGCTTTTTATTCTCTTGAATCAATTTATTTCTTATTTTAAATGCTTAAAAAAAGCACCAGTTATTGATAGACTGATATCAAATACATACGGCACATCGTGATTCACCCAGCTCTACTCAGCACATTATTTTTAAAAATGTGCTTATTTAATCTTTATATTGACCGGTTAATTTGACTTCTTCATTGTTATGTTGACCTCAGAAAAAGTTTTAATATAAAATTAAATTCAGTGAAATATTAAATTAAAATACATTTGAAGAGTTAAAAAAAAAAGAAATGATAGGAAATACAGCCGTATCGCCGAGCCCGAAACAGAAGGTAATTTAAAGTGGTCCACATACTTTTTTTTTTTTTGGGTAACTCAATGCTGTCTTGTAAAATTTGACCGAGATTTGACAATGACGAGTGAAGTTACAGAACGCTGACCAAATGTATTTAAAGCAAAAAGAAAATATTTGTTTTCGGGTGTGTGTACTTCCGCAACTTCTTGAAACAAATAAAACATCAATGATGACAAGATCATTTTCTCTCTTCTCGTTCACAGTTGCCATGTGAAGACCAGATCATTTTGCTGAAAGGCTGTTGTATGGAAGTCATGTCGTTGCGTGCTGCTGTTCGCTATGATCCAGAGAGTGAGACTCTCACACTTAATGGAGACATGGCCGTCACACGAGGTCAACTGAAGAATGGAGGCCTGGGTGTAGTGTCGGACGCCATTTTTGACCTTGGTGTCTCACTCTCCTCCTTTAACTTGGACGACTCTGAGGTGGCTCTTTTACAAGCAGTTATTCTGCTTTCAGCGGGTATGCGGCCGATGTCTGAAAACTTGCAGAGCATAACTTGCCTAAGAATCCCCCAAATACAAATGTGATTCGTCGTTTTGCATTCGACATTTACGTAACAAAATGAAATGTACAATAAAACATTATTCTGCTGTGGTTGCCATAGAACAACATTTGCATCTCTTTCGCAAGTTTCATTAGTTCATGCAACGTGGCTATGTAAAATGGCACGACAGTTGCCTGAAACACGATCGCTCTGTGGTTCCACACTTCCCCCAATTGTGAATAAGACTCCAAGATACAGTCGTACCTCTACTTATGAACATCTCTTCATACGAAATTTTCAAATTATGAAATGCCTCATCAGGAAATTATTGCCTCTTACGAAAGAAATTTCAAGATACGAAAGTATGGGCCGTTACTCACAGCTCCAAGTTTCCTGAACGCAACATACTTATAGCTGCTCTGCCATTGGCTATTACCGAGCATCATCCTGGCATCCCATTGGCTAAGAGGGACTTTGACCGTATGTGTTTGTGTGTGTGTCGATAGATAAATACTGTACATAGATCTGTGTTGATGCAGCGTCCTTGTCATTCGCCCCTCTGGACAGGGGGCTTTCCGATCGTTTTATGTAAATGTGAATAACCCAGAAAAAGTGTTCACCAGTGTGGGCAACACTCACTATGTTGATGTTTGCCTTTTCAAAGGATTGTTAAAAGCCGACAAAAGCAAACATCTTTGGATATCAGTTCTTTCCAAAACGCGAGGCAAAAGCCACTTCTGAGAGAGAACTAAAGCGGCCAGAAAACGATGAGGACGCAGTTAAAAGTTAAATGACAATCATTTTTACTGTTTATTATATTCTTTGTTTTTTACGTTGCGCACAACTCTCATTTATTGTGCAATAATCTAATGTCAGGGGGGGGGGGGTTGGAACGGATTAGGGCATTTACATGGAAAACGCATCTCTACTTACATTTTCTAATGAAGAAATCTCTTCCACAACATACTCATTTCGTAAGTAGAGGTATCACGGTACTTGAATTCCTCCACTTGGGGCACATCTTATTCTTGACCTGAGATGGCACTCCGCATTTTTCTGACTGATAATCGAAATAATTTCCATCCATCCATTCATTTCCCGATCCGCTTATCCTCACAAGTGTCGCGGGGGGTGCTAGAGCCTATCCCAGCTGTCTCCGGGCAGTAGGCGGGGGACCCCCTGAACCGGTTTCCAGCCAATCGCAGGGCACACACAGACGAACAACCAT